ATGAGTTTTCCCAGATGGGAAATGAATTTACTTCTACCATGTCCTTAAAAGCCATCCCGAGACCATCTGAAAATGTTTGAAAATAGATACATTTTCAAATTGAATTTTTTCTGTGAAATTGGAGACAAATCAGGATGAAGTTAAACATTTTTATTGGAGACTGCATACTTGCCCCAGCCAGCAACCACAGTTGAGACAGGTTTAGTCACAGGCCCCATCTGCAGAACAGGTTTACCTCAAATTTGGCATTACACTAGGTTTCCACTTTATGTGGGTGAAAGAGAATGCTTTTTCCTGTTAGACTTCTCTCAACCTGGGCAGGCACTAGCTTAGCCTCCTGTGCTCCCAGTGCTCTCAAAATCCATCGCAAGTTCCCTGAGGTTTGGTAGAAACCTCCAGGGTTGGGGCCACCTTGAGGGCTTACTGACCTCTGTTACTTACACTTTGGTTTTGGTGTCTGATGATTCCCTGTTTTCTTGACAGATCATTTCCAAAGACTTAAAATATTTTTTCAGATGCTTTCCTTGGTTTGTGACAAGATTGTTTATTGAGTCTTATCTACCATACTGACTGAATTCAATGTCCCTTTTTCTAAACCCTCACAGGATTGTTACAGATTTTCTAGGCTTATGATACTACTGCAGTGGAATACCTAAGGGACTTTTGGTATTTCCCAATTAGCTACAAGGGTTGACATTTCTATGTGATATCAGAAGTAGAATGGGAAAGCAGGATTTGCCAGCTATTATACTAAATTCTACTTTGTCATAGCATAAACTCAAGCTAACATTAAATTCAGCAAGGTAGAATTAAATGTTTTCTCTTTTCAGCTGGGTACCTGTAATCCCAGCACTTTGGGAGGCCAAGGCAGGCAATCACGAGGTCAGGAGTTCAAGACCAGCCTGACTAACATGGTCAAACCCTGTCTCTACTAAATACAAAACTTAGCTGGGCATGGTAGCACGTGCCTGTAATCCCAGCTACTCAGGAGGCTGAGGAAAGAGAATCACTTGAACCCAGGAGGCAGAGCTTGCAGTGAGCTGAGATCGAGCCACTGCACTCTAGCCTGGGTGACAGAGCGAGACTCCATCTCAAAAAACAAACAAACAAACAAACAAAAAGAGTTTTCTCTTTTCTATTTCAAGACTATTAAAAAAATCTCTAACTCTCTTTCCCTGTGCCTTACCTGAAATACAGTTGTAAATACATAGCAAATGGTATGTCTATAAGGTTTCTCTAAATCATGTTTAAATCAGTTAACAATTTACTTCTCATTTATGATTATGGAAAACCACAAATTTTCACATGTAAGATTTACCTTTTTTATTTTATTTTTTTGAGACAGTTTCACTCTTGTCACCCAGGCTGCAGTGCAATGGCATGGGCTCACTGCAACCTCCACCTCCTTGGTTCAAGTGAGTCTCCTGTCTCAGCCTCCCAAGTAGCTGGAATTACAGGCACCCGCCACCATGCCCGGCTAATTTTTTGTATTTTTAGTAGAGATGAGGTTTCACTATGTTGGCCCGGCTGGTCTTGAACTCCTGACCTCGTGATCTGCCTGCCTTGGCCTCCCAAAGTACTGGGATTACAGGCGTGAGCCACCGCGCCCAGCCTACTTTTTAAGAAGAATACTGATATATACTGCATAGGCACAGGAAAGAATATAGGACAAAAGTTATCTTGTAAACTTCTGGAACAGAAAAACAGAAAAATAAGCGATGAGATGTTTATCTACCATGAACCTCATTTTTCAGGCTGCTTTATGAACAATTACATATTTTTAAAAAATCAGTCCCCAAATTATTCATTTTTACTCTTTCCTTATGTCGGTCCCTATCTGTTTCATTGTAAATGTTTTAACTATAAATAGGCCACATTTTGAATAATAAAAGTTTAAAAAAATAATAGAAAGAACAGAAAAGGTATTCAATTATCTGTTTTCTTATCAGCTAGTGTATATTTTTGGATTCTGGTTTTCTGTACATGTTCTAAGTTTGAGATTTTCTTCTATGCTTAGTTAAGTAATCTCACTTGGTTTCATTAAAAACACATCTAGAGCCTAAAGTATAAAATATTATGCTTGGCTTTCATTGTTCCAGATGATAATGGTAAACATGTCTTTCAGAGCCCACAAAGTATAACTATGGAATTGAGTCTCATTTTTCAGTAAACATATGTGGGCATCCATATATTTACTTCAATGATGCTATTATTCCTCAACACAATTTTTTTGAAATTGTCTTTAAATTTGCCTTAAAAGGCAAATTTAGTAAGACATAAAACTATGAAACTATTAGAAAAAAAACATAAGAAAAAAGCTCCATGACACTGGTTTGAGCAATAACTTTTTGGATATGACTCCAAAAATATAGGCAACAAAAGCAAAAACAGACAAACCAGATTACACCAAACTAAAAAGCTTCTGCACAGCAAACAATCCACAGAGTGAAGAGACAACCTACAGCCTGGAAGAGAACAGTTGCAAACTATGTACTTTGCAAGGAGTTAATGTCCAGAATATAAAAGGAACTCAAAAAACTCAATAGCAGGAAAACAAATAATCCAATTTAAAATGGGCAAAGGACCTGAATTTTTCAAGAGAAGACATACAAATGGCCAACAGGTATAGGAAAAAATGTTCAACATTTCACTTCATGCCTGTCAGGATGGCTATTATCAAAAAGACAAAAGATAACAAGGGGTTGGCAAGGATGTAGAGAAAAGGTAACTCTGTGCACTGTTGGTAGGAATGTAAATTAATACCACCATTATGGAAAGTGGTATGGAGAGTCCTCAAAAAAGTAAAAATAGTACCACCATATGATCTGGCAATCCCATTACTAGGTATGTATCCAAAGGAAATGAAATCAGTATGTTGAAGAGATGTCTGCACTCCCAAGTTTACTGCAGTACTATTTACAATAGCCAAGATATGGAATCAACCTAAGTGTCCAACAGTGAATGACTGGATAAAGAAAATATGGTGTATATACACAATGACATGTTTTTCAGTCATAAAAAAGAATGAAATCCTGTCATTTGCAACAACATGGATAAAACTGGAGGACATTATGCTAAGTGAAATAAGCCAGGCACCGAAAGACAATTACTACACATTCTCACTCATATGTAGAATCTAAAAAAGTTGTGTTCTTATGGAAGTAGTAAATAGAACAGTGATTACCAGGGACTGGGGAGCAGAGGAGCTTGGGTTTCTGGGGAGAGAGTGGTCAACAAGTACAAAGTGATAATTAGATAGGAAGAGTAGTTTGTTCTGTACCACAGCAACGTGACTATAGTCAGGAATAAGGTATTGTATACCTCAAAACAGAAGATTTTCTATGTTCTCACCATGAAGAAATGATAAATGCTTCAGGTGGTAAATATGCTAATTAGCTAGATTTGATCATTATACAATATATAAATGTATTGAAACATCATATTGTACCCCACAAATATGTACAAATATGTGTCAAAAACAAAAATAAATAAATAATGCTGATGAATGGATGTTTATGCTTTTGAACAATTCTTTTTATATTTTGATGTTAAAATTATCTTTATCTTTTGAAAATATGATTTACAAAAGTGAAAAATTGTGGATAGATTCCAGGCATTTAAAAGTTGGCAGGTTAAAACTAGTTTTGCCAGGTGCAGTGGTATATATCTGTAACAAGCTACTTGGGAAGCTGAGGTGGGAGGATCCCTTGAGCCTGGGAGTTCGAGACCAGCCTGGGCACCATAACAAGATCATGTCTCCAGGAAAAAAAAGGCTGGGTGGGGGAGGTGAAAGTGGCAGGAAGGCTATGACCAATGCCTTGACATGTAATTTTCTCTAGACTTTAAATCTGAAGATCCATGAAAAAAAAAATGTATACACACATGCACATATAACTCAAGTATACTGAGTGATATATATTGGGCTATTGGTCATAGGACACAACATTTCAGTTAGACAGGAGGAACAAGGTTAACAGGTTTATTGTACAACATGAAGACTATAGTTAATAACATATTGTATTCTTGAAAAATGTTAAGAGTGAATGTAATGTGTTTCACCACAAAAAATGATAGCTATGTGAGGTAATGCATATGTTAAATAGCTAAAATTAGTAATTCTACTATGTATGCATACTTCAAAACATCACGTTGCACAAAGCAAATACTTACAATTTTATCTATCAATGTAAAAAATAAATTTTAACTCTCAATGAAAGAATATTGTCTTCTTAAAAAAAAACTAATTTGCCTTTATAGATAATTTTCAAATCTCTTCTGTTTTCTACTATATCACATATCCGCCAGCATACACAGCACAGACACACATAAGCACACAATTCATTTCTGAAGAAAAATAGGGCATAAATGAATCTGAACTTCCATATATTTGTCAAATTGATAGCAGAATAACCTTTGGCTTCCTCCAAAGACCAAATCCGTTCCTAAAAGACAAATATATTACAACCCTAAAAATTTGCAAAATAGTGCTGAGATAAACTCCCAAAGAAAAATCCCCCAAATGTCTCATGTAACAGCAGCTCTACTAAAATAAGCTGAATTGTAAACCAATATTCTTACTTATAAAGTAACAGGATTCATTTGGAAGTATCAATGGGGCTGTGTTTGCTAAAATATTACTTGCATTACTTAACAGTAATAACAACCAACATTTATGTAGTGTTTTAGATAGTCCTAAAGTAATCCTGTGAAATTACTCAGATATAGTAAAGGAAAAGGTCGTTGATCTGTGTTCCTTCCCCCTTCCCACAATGGTGGTGACCACAGTCATCCTGAAAGCCAAGGTGAAGACAGTGGAGCCGTGTTAGTCTAGGTCCTTCCCTTCAGTGTGTGGGACAGAGCCACCCATGTGTGTGAATTGTTCGCCAACTAGTTTTTATGTGTGGCAGAAGTGAACTTTTTGTCTTTTCAACCATATTATTTAGGAATCTGTCATTATAACAACTTCATCTTTTGCCCTCTATTTCTGAATTCATCCTTACCATTTGTTATGACCCTGTCCAGTAAACCATGTGGAGGGCAAGCCAGCATTTGTCTCAGCCTTTGTACGTGATTTGCTTCAGTTGGTGTTTCTTGTAGCTTTTTTTCACTGCTTTTCAAAAGGATACTTCCTTCTGTTGGTTCATTTGCATCTATACCTTTGAGGTTCATAACTGTCTCCTCCTGTATTTAAAGTAATTTTAAAAATCCTTAAAACTGTATATATTTTACATATTTTTATAGGTACTGCATCATCACCTTACAAATCAAATTTATGACTAGACTCAAGTATAACACTTTGTAGGAAAAACACACAGCTTTATTACTAGCTAATCAGCTTGAAACAAGAATTATGCTAGGAGTATTTAGCACAGTCACTATTTTTAGTACAGGTTGAGTATCACTAATCTGGAAATCTAAAATCTGAAATGCTCCAAAATCTGAAACTTTTTGAGTGCTGACACGACACACAAGTGAAAAATTCCACACCTAAACTCACATGACAAGTAACAATCAAATGCAACTTTGTTTCATGTACAAAATTATTTAAAATATTGTATAAAATTACCTTCAGATTACCTGTATAAGGTGTATATGAAACATAAATACATTTCCTGTTTAGACTGGGGGTCCATCTGCAAGATATCTCACTAGGTGCATGCAAATATTAAAAAAAAAAAAAGAAATCCAAGACACTTATGGTCCCAAGCATTTCAGATAAGGGATACTCAACCTGTATTATAAATGTCTGGGTCACATAACATTTTATTACGTTTTGTAATACTGGGTTTTAAAATAAGCATATTTAAGATAAAATTCAGGGCAATAATTGGCACATATACCAAAGTAGTTTAGAAAAAGATAACTATCTGTAATGAAAACCACTTCACATTCATTAATCTACTTGAATTTAAGCAATAAAAAGAAAGGAAGAAACCAAAACCATTCTAGAGATTAGGTCAGAGACACAAAGCATTCCACAGGCTCTCCAGTTTTCTAGCCACAGGTAGGGTCAACTGACAATGATGTTAGCTGGGAAAACTGGTAGTCACACCTGCCGTGCACTGTGTGAGTTTGGGGATAGGAGAATTGGTAAATGAGTGGTAGAATATGAAGGAAATACAATTCTGTCACAGCTTTGATTTACCTGTGTTTCTTGAAGCATGGAGGGCATGTGATTCATTCCTGTGGATGGTTCTGAATCTTCACACGTAATTCTTTTATCTTCATCCCCCATTATTTATAATTAAGAAGATGACAGAGGGAAGAGGAACAAGATCTGTTTTGAAAGAGTATAGATATAGAGCAGTAATTTGAAAGTCTTTTGATCTCAAAGACTTCAGATTGTAGTTATTTTTCCCTAAGAATTCTGAATGGCTAAGCTATTTGAAATTAGACTATTCTTAATTTTCAATGGCAGTTTTTTTTTTGTTTGTTTGTTTTTTTGCTTGATTCTCGTATATTATCATCATTCTTATCTACCTTTTTACTTCTCTTGAAAAAGCCTTTGTTGACCAATCACGTTTTTATGATTTCTCTCCCACACTGTTTTTTGAGTTATACTTAAAAACATTCCAAGCAATATCAGTGTTAAATTGTCCTCTATCATGGGCCAACTGGATGAAGCAGGAAGGCTCCAGGTAACTTTCCAATGTTGATATGAAGAATGAGTCACTAAAGGGAAATCTCCGGATTCCATCCTTTTCGGAGAATCTAGAGTCACTAACTCTTGCCTGGTTCTTATTTCTAAATTAAAGTTTAAAAATACACCACAATTGACTGAGTAGCCACAATGTCTTAGACACTACGAGAAGTGCTATGATAGTCACTTTTTAGTCATTGTGGGCAATTCAAAGATTACCAAAACACAGTGTTTGTTTTCCACTGACTTATCATATACCAGGAAAAATAAATTTATACCAAATAACTAAGAAAACCTGTAAGACTACCGATTGGCTCAATAAACACTCACTTTAACCCATTCTCCCTTGGCTTTCCATGCTATACAGGCTACAAGGCCAATACAGTACTCCAGTTCCTAGCCACTTTTGCAGGTAGAGGTGACCATGTGTCACAGTTCTACATATGAGATTTAGGTGGGAGCTTTGGGGGAGGCCTTTAGAGGATAATACTTTGTACTCTTTGTCCTCTAACATTTCCCTTTCTCCTTCCTAGAATGTAGATACAGTGGCTAGAAGGGCAGCAGACATCTTTCAAGCATGAGAATAAAAGCCCTCTACTTAGGATAGTAGATAAGTAAGATAGAAGCTGGTTCCTTGACGACATCTTCCAGTTGCTCCATCAGCCTTGGACTGCCAAGCATTGGGGTAATTGTTTAAACCACTATTAATCAAGTTTTTTCTTCTTTTTTAACTAGTAAGGAAACTTACTTCTAATGCAATAAGTACAATGAGTATCTTGATAGAGGTACACACTACAAACTTGTGGTAGAATCAAAGAGAAAATTATGTAACAGAAGGGAAAATCTAATTCAACACATATCAAAGTGCCTAATGTGTTCCAGGCACTATGCTAGACATAAAGACAAGGATGAATTAGACAGGACCCCTCCCTCAAGGAATCATTTTCTCTGTTCAACAAAGTGCCAAGAAATTTGCATTTAAAATTTCAAAGAACATCATCATAATCTTTCTACCACCACCACCATTTTTCCTAATTACAAAACATAATGGTAACCAGAGTGCCATCTCAAAAAAACCTTTCGTTTACTTTTTATTATATATAATTTATAATATGCTTATATGATATATATGTATATGTATATATGTTAGTATATATACTTTTTTAAATTAAAAAAATTATTTCAAAATTTAGACTGAGAACATAAAAGAAAGTCACTTGACCAGAAAATGTTAGACTCAGAGAACACTTGTCTTAAAGGCATGGAGGCAAGAAAGCCAGTGGTGTGTGAGGGGAAACTGCTGGAGCCTGTGGCAGGAGGCTGAGAGTAACGGGAGATCAGGTTTAAGTTAGGATATCAGATCTCCAACCACAGCATCTAGCCCTTACCTTCTGAAGTGAATGACCCCAAATATGGTAACTGACAAGATGGGCTGGGTTCGGATTTGGATAAACCTGAGTCTGAAGTCCATCTCCCTCATATAGCAAATTGCTTAACCTCTTTGTGATTAATTCCTTATTTATGAAAGGGAGACAAGAATAGTTCAAACTATGCACAGTTGGCATTCAATAGTGTTGGCTATTGCTAACCATGCATATTCCTTCTTCCTGATTATCATAAGAAGAATCTTTAAGAATTGTTTTGTTTTCCCTATTAAGCAAGACAAAGTCAGCTCAATCTTGAAGAATTTACTACTTAATCCCATTGATTTTATTTGGTCATGATTTTTCATCTGTTTTTGAGGCCCACTTCTTGATGAGGTGGATGTAACATTCATTTCTTCACCTTTCTCAGTAGGAGAATTACATAGAAATTCTTTGGCAGTATCACTAGAACCATCTCTTTCATCAAATTCTCAAAATCACCCAGTTCTGCCACTTACAAAAACTATTTTTAAATAGTCACGAATTAGAAATTATTATTTTTAGTAGACACAAACTACTGGTTAAAATGAAGCCTTTGTGAACAAATTTTATTAATATTATCATGGGGTCCTTTTACACATAAACAATCACAACTTGGTATGTTATAACATCTGTGGGATTTATATAATTTTACATCCCAAAAAACTTCCCTATTCTCCAATACTCTCAACCACAAATGCCAAAATACTTATACATGATCAGAAACTACTGCAGAAATAAAGGATGAAATGAAATACCAGTCTTTTAATAAGCCCAGTAAGAGATCTTACAACTAGTCAGCTGTATTTGTTTGCTCTCTGCTGTGTTTCCATTTCTAAAAGACCATTTAAAATGCATGTCTCACTTCAGGAACCCACTTAAATTCAGGAGAATTTCAAAAATGTTAGCTTTACTTAAAGTGACCATGTTCATGGTATTTATTATTCATAGTCATTGGGTCTTGAAATGACAAAAATGATCCTTGAAGGGCCATAAAAAATGTCATGAAACTCTTATTAGAAAGTTTATTCTCTTTACTCATAGAAAGGTTCTTAAGGACTCACTCAGAGCCCATTAACCCTTATTTTGTTTTGCTTGTTTGTTTGATTTTTGAGAGGAAGTCTCCCTCTGTTGCCCAGGCTAGAGTGCAGTGGCATGATCTTGACCCACTGCAACCTCCACCTCCTGGGTTCAAGAGACTCTCCTGCCTCAGCCTTCTGAGGAGCTGGGATTACAGGTGCCCGCCACCTCGCCTGGCTAATTTTTTTGTATTTTTAGTAGAGATGGGGTTTTGCCATGTCAGCCAGGCTGGTCTCCAAGTCCTGACTTCAGGTGATCCACCCACCTAGGCCTCCCAAAATGCTGAGATTACAGGCGTGAGCCACCAAGCCCGGCCCTTATTTTGAAAACAATTCTAATGACTTTGCTCCTTTGTTTTTCAAACCCTCAGAAGATTAGGTGTTAAATATTAAAATTCAGGAAGAGATTGCTGTGATAGAGGCAAATTAAGACCAGCATTAGTGACTGATGACAGTGAAAGAGATGAAAAAGACAGCAATCTAAGAGTAATGAAATGTGGGGATACATATCTTTCCACAAGGGATATTTATAGCGTTGGCCTGCCAAGCACCTTTCCCATCACCTTTCTTGGTAACAGCACACGAATTTTCTTTTGTGAACTCCACACCTCCTCTATTCTCCATCCATGTGGTCATGTGAGATTGTCATTCTGACTTCCCCAACCCACATGCTCCACCAGTGATCCAGGGATGAGGATCATTGACAGCCCTGGTCAATAAGGGAACTCCTTCCTCTGGTTACATTGATGGTTTCAGGCATGAGGACTGACACATACCTCACCAAAGAGAGTCAGCTTTGGGTATTTACTGGAACCTTTGGGAAAGAGCTCTCTGTTGGTGTTGCTAAACCTAGACTTGCTAATGAAAGTCTTGTGACACCCAAGAAAGCTCTCCAAAGAATGAAATGACCACAGAGCAAAGAAGATTCTCAATATGGAAAAGGAGGAAAACTTCAAATTAATCACCACATTGTTGGTACATCCAGAAGCAGCTACTTTTGAGTTAGATGAGCCAATAAATTCCTTTCATTAAGACAGTTTGATTTGGGTTTCTGTCACTTGTCACCAAATGAATCCTCAGTAAGAACCTTCATACCTGAATTGGCCCTGAAAGATCTCCTGTATAATAAATAATGTTTGGAAAACTGATTCTCATACCTGTAATCCCAGCACTTTAGGGGGCCAAGTCAAGTGGATCACCTGAGGTCGGGAGTTTGAGACCAGCCTAGCCAATGGTGAAACCCCATCTCTACTAAAAATACAAAAATTAACTGGGCATGGTGGCAGCCACCTCTAATCCCAGCTACTTGAGGCAGGAGAATCTCTTGAACTTGGGAGATCGTGCCACTGCACTCCAGCCCAAGTGATAGAGTAAGGCTCTGTCCCCCTCTAAAAATAAAAAGAAAAAATTATGTTAGTATATTTTGTGTTTAAAAGGCACTAAAATAGATAGTACAATTTAGAGATTTTGTTTAAACAGAATGTTAAACTAAACAAAAATTTGGTATTTAATAAAATAGGTGTCAGTTATCCAGAAAATTAATTTAAGTGAAATGCTTTGTTTTTCAAAACAGTGCTGGTAAAACGAAATATTGTATGTAATGAATCTTATTTTCTCATTATATTCATGGAAGTCTTTTAAAATCCCAACATTAAACTACTTCTTAGGTACCAGAGAAGGTTCAAGAGAACTGTTAAAAATTTATCTGAGACACTGGGTGTCTGTGATTGAAAAATTAAAAAGTAGGAGAAATATAGAGAAACTAGATGGTTTCTAAGTAACTAAGAATCACAGATTAATGGAATAATAATAGTTGGGAAGCCCTTTAGAACCGAACTAGGCCTACCTCTTTAATATTTAAATGAGAAAATTAAAGTTTAGAGAAGCTAGTTTTTCTCAACGCAGCCAATATCGGCCTCATAATAAAACTATAAAAGTTTGTATAATGAGATAGTTCTTTAATTTATATCTTTGACTTCATGTCATTTCTACCAAGTCACTGCATTGCATTTTTTTAGTTTCTGCTATAATTCGTTTAAAATCCTACTCATATATGCCCACATACACCTGTAAGTTTGAAAACACATGCTGAAAGTAAATGCAAATATTTTTATTTTCTACCTTGCATCATCTTCAGCTTTACACTTTCCCATTT